AGGACTTGGACTTCACTCCAACTCACAGAGGCCACTTCAATCTGCACAAAGAAGAAACACAAGGAAGCAAAAGGTTTACAAAGAAGGCCTCCATTTTACATACTTAACGGGTCACTGACAACTTTTCACACTTTGTGGAGAGAACCGTCTGAGCATGTCATATGACCCACTCTCTTTAAAACCTCTCTAAACTCAGAAACAACGCTAAGAGTCTGAGAAGAGAAGGTGATCTGGGATTTCAGCCTGACTGCTGTCTGCCAGGCAGATTTGCTGGCTGCGGGCACTTCCCAGCAGTTAGGCCTTGCCAGGAGCCTCAAACTGCAGGTCTGCACAGTTTGAAGGACTCTCCTCTGCCTGAGTTGCCCCTGGTGCTCCATTTCTGTGTTCAGCATTTACTACGCTTGCCAGGATCTGTGCTGCGTACTGTGTGGGACATGGGGTACGGGAATCCTGTTCTCAAGGACCTTCCTGTCCAGTTGGAGATATAAGACAAATATCTAAATAGCTACTGTTTAGGACAGAAAGTGACCAGTAATTCACAAATATTAAGACCCTACTATGTGCCAGTTAATGTGCACTGGGTATACAGTGGAGAGCAAGAGAGACTAGTCCTTAGAAGAGGTTTAATAAGCATTTGCTGAAGGAGAGAAAAGAACAGTTGTTCGTCACCCACTATGGATAGGCCAGGCTGTGTGCCAGGCATTTTCTCATTTAATTTCCTTCTCACAAGTCCTCGCTTTGGTAGGCAACGCTATCCCCATTTTTAACAAATAAGGAAACAGGGGCTCAGAGATGCTAGGGGGCTTTCCCAAGGTCACGCAGACAGCGAATAGCAAAGGCAGGATTGTAATGAGACCCACCTGACTTAGATCCTGCTCTTTCAACCTCACTACATTTACTGTTAGCATTTTAGGGCACACCTGCCTTCGTGCTGCTGTGGCTGATTCATTTCCAAACTGAGGGGCCTCAGAGGACACTGCAGCCTGTTGGCAACAATAAGGCCTCCACTGCTAGTCCAAGATAAGGGCTCACAAAGCCATTTGGACCACCCACATCTGTGATTAACGCCTGGATCTGTCTCTGGCTGTCCCTAGATGTTCTCTAGCATCAGCTGTGCGATCCACTTATCTTCCGATAGAATGGGAAAATGAAAGGGCAGAGAAGGGAGAATAAAAGTGACTTCCAGAGCCAGGGGCACAAGCCCTGCTCCCTTCCTTTCAATTCCTCCAGCAAAGCTGGCCGAGCACACAGAGGAGACAGCCACTGCCCAGCAGAGCTGAAAACCACACCACTTCTACCCCAACATGTCATCCTCCATCTTCCCGCCATTTGCCAGAACCCAAGGAAATTGTTTTCATTCCTTCTCTTTCACTTTCTTGGGGGGGGGGGGGGGGAGAAGAATTGGGGGCTTTCATTGATCAACAAAGCCTTCCGAATAAAGGCTGCATTCGTGAATCAGCATAGCCCCACCCTGCATGCCCACCTCTTCTGCCCCATCTCCCCATGCACCCCAGGGAGCTGGTGCGCCACCCCGTGCCCCGCCCCCAGCACACCCTGGTGGCTCCTGGACCGCCCTTATCCCTTCTGCGGAGGCACCTTGGGGAACCTGTGGCCATCCTGGGGACTGAGCTCACACACCTCCTCCGGAAAGCCCTCTCTGACCGCGCTCCAGCAGTGCGCATGCGCACACCCAGCAGGCCCCTCTGGCGTTCCCACGCCCCACAGCACGCACACGCACACGCACATGTACGTACACGCACGTACGTACGCACGCACAGTCATACCCCTCCAGGGAGCTCCCAGCCTCTCCACGCTGCCCTGGCTTGGCGTTTCCTGTGCTGCACCCTGCCCGCGCCTTGCTGGTAACCCCTCCTCTCCACGCTCCGACAAGCCTCCTACTCCCTGTAGTGAGAGGACCAGGACCAGGAACACAAAAGCCCCTGGAAGGGGGGAGGCTAGAGGGAGGAGAAGGCTCTCGGCCCGTGCCACCTTCCTGGGGTGGCGCTGGCCCCACCGCTGCCAAGGGAGAAAAGGGGGAGGCCTGGGGACAAGCAGGCTGAGGGAATGGTTCTCTGAAAACCCGAGCAGGAGCTTCAGGGCTCCCGTGGCAAAGGTCAAGGCCATTGCTCAGGAATGTTTGCAGCTCTCGGTGGAGCCTGGGGTGACAGCGGCTAGGGCTTGCGCCACAGGAGGCTCTGGGCCTGGAGGTCGTGGCATGGCCCAAAGGGGTCCTTGGAACAGCTGCCCCTGACCGGCATGCACTGGGCTTGGTAGAGGTAGGAAATTCCTGGAAATGGCTGGACTTCTTCCCTTGGTTCCTGATCCGTGACTAGGTAGTGAGTTGGCCACGAAAGGAAGCATTTAGGCAGAGTTCAGGAACATAGGGCTGGACTTACGCAAAAGCATTCAGGAAGAGAAAAACAGAGCAGGGCCAAGAGTGAGGGCCACGCCGGCTCACCTCCACTTCCATCACTAGCCTGGCGTTTGAAAGGACGTAAAAAGGTTTAAAATCCCTTCTGTCAGTGTTGTCACCAGGGTTGGATGGAGCCGGGTTCACCACGTTAAAGTGCACGTTTAAAAGCTGAGCGGCTACAGCGAGGTTGTCAAACTTAACACATGTGGACCTGTGTAAATTAAAAAAAAAAAAAAATTCCGTGTCTGTGGAGGCAGTGCTTTTAAACAGGTGCTTTGCAAAGAATGAGCCCCTTAAGAAGTACTTTGCATACATGTAGCCCATCAACCTGAAAACAAATAAAAGTCAAATCAGTACCAAATCAGCAACTCTGAGCAGCAGACTAGAGAATATGTTGGAGATAGGGTTTTAACCATTTGCACGCCATAAGCGTCTATAGACACAAGTGGTGGACCTTTTTTAATTAAATTCAAAATATCGTGGCAGTTAACTGGTTAAAAGGTTGCGAATTCAGCTCTGGCTGGGTAGCTCAGTTGGTTAGAGTGTCAGCCCCACTAGACCAAGGTTGTGGGTTTGATCCCCAGTCAGGGCACATACAAGACGCTACCAATGAATGCATAAATAGGTGGGACAACAAATAGATCTTTCTCTAGCTCTATCTTCCTCTCTCTCTAAAATCAATAAATAAAAATAAAAGATTGCTAATTCAGTTTCTCTTTCCTGCATAGCTAATGGTAGAAGGCACCTTTACATTGCATTTGCAGTTTTTAATCAACTAGGAAAAATCACATTCTCCTTTATTATTTTACATCCTTTTTCCAAAGAGAAATTAAATTTTTTTAGAAATCTAACTTTGCTCTTTCCACTCACCAAGAGAAGTGTATTATGCTTTCAATCTGTTCAATCTCAGTTTAGTTTCAAGTTGAGACTTTATTTCATTTCCAGACATGTACAGAGTGGATGGTATCCCTCTATTCTCATTTTTTGGATGCAATTGCTTGGCAAAGCAGTAGGCCTGCTGGGTAAATCAAACTCTCCACTTTTCACTCTACATACACCCTTTAGGTATCTGAAACTGAACCCATACAACATGTCTTCCTGCAACTGAGGTTCAAAATTATAATGAATTAGTTGAGCTAAAGCACGGGAATATTCCATTTAAGAAACTTTTTAAAAATAAATATGAAGTCCATCTTGTTTCATTATTTGCTCTGCCTTATAGATTATAAAATATGCAGGTGGGTTAATATTCTTTGTTTTGGGGGTTTTATTAACATTTCAAAGACAGATAAAAACAGACATTTCTAACAGATTGCTTACACAATTCTGTGTCCTGAAAGATGGCTCAAACCAAACAAAATGAAAAAATAACCAATAAAAAGTTCAGCATTTTTTTCCTTCAGGAGCTTAATATTTTAAGGCTTAATAAGAATCAATGAGAATTCTACAGAGTGCCTTAGTGTCACCAATGATATTCATCTTGATATCATTGTAATTAACCTAGTTATTAAGAACAGGAAAAGAGCAAAGGGAAGGCCAAGTATTATAAGCATGTCATTTGGGCAGCTTTGCCAGGAAGCTACAATTTTGCACTCTCCAGGGGTCCAGCAAGGGAAGATAGACAAATGCCCAGTAAAGTTGGGGTGACATACGGAGGGTACTTTCCTGTCAGTCACACCAGGAATAGGTCATTGGCCAGAATGGGTGTGGCCACTGCAAGGGCAAGAAATTTGGAATATTTAATCTCCTGAACAAAGAAGTTCTCTCTCTTTGTCCTCTTGGGACTCTTTTGTGGGGTGGGGGCGCTGCTCTCTTGGCTCACCTGCAGGCCATGTGGACCCCACACACAATGAACTAATGGACTGAAATTAGCCTGCTGCTGAACTGGACCCGGCTGCAACATGGAAAGGAAACCCTGGGCACTAGCTTTGCTTTTAGCTCTACTGTAACCACAATTATACTTCTTCCAGGACCGGATTAAGGGAAACGGGACTTTAGAAACCCAGGGATGTAATCCCATGCAAATAAAAATCACTGATCTTCACATGCAAGTCTCAGAAAATTCTTTTTCTCCAGATATCGTAAGGACTCCAACCCTGGCAGTCCCTGGGAAAATGATACCCCAGTTTCCCCCAATAACAATCTCATCTGAAAAATTTGGACTTGGCTCAGCCCATCCACTCTTACTGCAGCCCAAGGTTGTCTTTTCTTTTTTTTTAATATATTTTATTGGTTTTTTACAGAGAAGAAGGGAGAGGGATAGAGAGTTAAAAACATCGATGAGAGAGAAACATTGATCAGCTGCCTCCTGCACACTCCCTTCTGGGGATGTGCCCGCAACCAAGGTACATGCCCTTGACTGGAATCAAACCTGGGACCCTTGAGTCCACAGGCTGACGCTCTATCCACTGAGCCAAACCCATTAGGGTGCAAGGTTGTCTTTCATTTGGAAATCATGCTGTCATCAATATACATGGATGAGGCATATGCTTATCCTCGCTGCCCAAAGAGATGTTGGCATAGAGAAATGTGAAGGCTCCTGATTGAAGCTTGTATTTATGGGCTCTCCTCTTCTCTTCTCCCCTAGTTACTGTGACCGTGGGAGACAAGCAACACTTGCTCGGACTATATGACACGGCAGGACAGGTATATTTTTATTATCTTGATTTATTATTATCTTGATTTATTTTTATTATATTGGTTCATTCAATAGATATTACCTCTTCTGATCATTGGGGGCAAATTTATTATCTACCTAAATGACAACCAAAGCATATTCTTAATATCTTAAAAATATTTATAATTACAAAAAACCAAACCATTCATGATTCAAGATGTTAATAGGCAAATAATCATTCATTCATTGATTGATGACTAACAATAACCAAAAGAATGTATTTGGCCAAGACTCTCAAGTTCTTCCTACCCATACCAATTCCAGATCTAGGATTACCGAGTCAATTTCAAATTTGAGTTTCACCCATTATATTTTTGCATTATATTCTTTGCCCACCCTTTATTTGAATTGCCTAACGAGCTGTGAAAAGGTTCAGAATGAGATAGGGGATAGTGAGTGAGGGGTAGGAAGAAGATAGAGTAAGTGTTGGGAAAAAGAAAAGCCAGAACTAGATGTTTTCCAAAAGTGAATAACTGAATAACTAGAAGTTGACTCTCAATTCTCTAAGAGTTTTGAAATATTCTCACTCTGTCAGATATGTTTCTTCAAGTTGGAAAACCTGGCCAACCATTAACGTAAAGCAATGAACTAGAACTCTCAACACTTAATCAGTTAGCACATGCTCTACTTCAGCGGTTTTCAACCTGTGGGTCACGACCCCTTTGAGGGTCGAACGACCCTTTCACAGGGGTCGCCTAAGACCATCGGAAAACACATATATAATTACATATTGTTTTTGTGATTAATCACTACTCTTTAATTATGTTCAATTTGTAACAATGAAATTGGGGGTCACCACAACATGAGGAACTGTATTAAAGGGTCATGGCATTAGGAAGGTTGAGAACCACTGCTCTACTTGGTGAAAATGCCACCATCACTTTCTTTCCTAACACCCTATACTTCATTATGAAAAGTTTCTAATGTTATAAATTCATGGGTTGGAGAGGAAGTGGTTAAGCATTTGATAGCTGTGGGCCAATTTCTTTGATAGAGCTTTTGTTACCATATGTCTTGGGTCATTTATTAAGGTTAAAATCAGTGGGTTGTTTAGTTTTACATCTTAAGTCCTTTGGAGTGAACATCTGACCATACTCTTTCCCACTGTGAGTTTCCTGGTAATTGTTATTTATCGTTATACTAGTACATTTGTCTCCCCCCACCCCCCAATTATCTGGATATATGTCTTTCTGCTCAACTTGAAAGCTCTATACTAGAAAAAAAATAGTAAATGGAATTTTATTTGGGATTTCTGTATGCATTTGCAAGGACCACTGTATAAATGTCTGTGGGACATCAAAGGCTAATGTTGGGCAGGTCTAGGAAGTGGGGAACCTAGAAAATTTAGCTCCAGACTCAAGGCTTCTAAGAGCATCCAGTTTCCACTCATCAGCAGATGGTTCTTTGGGCCATCTACTCTCAGGAAGTGGAAACTCACAGTAATACCAAGACACAGAACTAGGACAGGATACCCCCAGATGCCCAATATGGGAAAATTGGTTTGTCTCCTCTGAGCTAAGTACAGGGGCCTCAGTGCAGCTCATACTTGGCTACTCCTCCACCAGAAAGCATTCCAGCAAGAAGGGTACGCTGCTCTTTGGTCTGGAGTTGCCAAACTCAATCACATAATCATTGGGGTGTCTCCCTTCATCAGGGACTCACAGCCTTAAAGAAAGAGGAGTTTACAGCCTTCTCACCTGTAGTCATATTTTATAGATATTAAATCCAGTTTGAAAAGTTCTGTACAGCAAGAATTATTGCCTGACTCTGAAACCTCTGTTTCCCGTGCCTTCTAAAAAGTGCTCTGTGCCCCTCATGCCCTCCCTCTTGTATAGCAGTCCATGCAATTGTTAGCTTCTGTGCGTTAATTGTCCCCAGAACAACCTCCCCAGGCCTCTATTTAATTTCAAATTCAATAAAATGGTTTAAAAGCTCGTGTGGAGTTCAATTCTTTTTTCCCACTGCTCTGTCCTTTATAGAAAAAAAAAATAGACAATACTAGTATAGGAGTTGAAGCTCTAAGGCAGTGCAAAAATATCTTTAAACACCAAATTGAAGAAAGCAGAATGACCTAAACCTCTGACACCAGGGAAAGTGATGAGCACGGATAAAATATAACAACAAATGGTTTTAGGTATTTCTTCAACTTAACTTTCACTTTAATGTTTTCCAGCAGCTACTTTGAAAGCTCGGAGGTAGACAAGGCTCATAGGGGAACATAAAACACGAGGATAAAGAATCAGAACATGTCTTACATTTTCCTCGAGGCCTCAAATTCTATGGTTAGGAACTTTAAAAGATGACTCCAACTTTAAAAGATGGCCCAGTGGTTCAGTTGGTTGGGCATCATCCCGTGCATCACAAGGGCTGTGGGATCTATTTCCAATCAGGGCATTTGCATTTGCAACGAGCTAGGCCAGTGATGGCAAACCTTTTGAGCTCGGCGTGTCAGCATTTTGAAAAACGCTAACTTAACTCCTGTGCCGTGTCACATATAGAAATTTTTTGATATTTGCAACCATAGTAAAACAAAGACTTATATTTTTGATATTTATTTTATATATTTAAATGCCATTTAACAAAGAAAAATCAACCAAAAAATGAGTTCGCGTGTCACCTTTGACACGCGTGTCATAAGTTCGCCATCACTGATCTAGGCTGTGGGTTTGATCCCAACAGGGATGCGTGCAGGAGGCAACCAATTAATGTTCTTCTCTCTCTCCCTTCCTCTTTTTGAAAATCAATGGAAAATAACAGGTGAGGATTAAAAATAAAAAAGATGACTCCAAGAAAGGCTAAAAGGAATAGAGTAATTAAGCAAAATGATTTGAAGCTAGACCTAAGGGAAACCTTTCAGCAGTAAAGGATTATTAAATGTTGAAATTCGTTACACTAAGGATGACAGGTAGTTCATTCTGTAGACCAGTTCTCAAACTTGAACGGGCATCACAGTCACACAAAAACCAGCCACTGGGCCCCAGCCCCAGTTTCTTATTCTACAGGTAGAGCTCAAGAATTTGCATTTCTCACACGTTTCCTGGTGATACTGCTACTGCTCTGTACATCATCCTTGTCACTCACAATATGGTCCAATGACCAGCATCATCCATGTCACAAGTGACCCTATTAGGAATGCAGATCTCAGGCCCCACCTCCACCTACCACATTCTAAAATTTATTTTTAAAAGATCCCCAGGTGATTCATGTGCACATTAAAATTCAAGAAGTACTCCTCTAGAAGTCCTTGGTGGTTGAGGCATGGTCCCTAGCGTTAGGAAGAGGTGGTGAAAAATATTACCTGAGTTGATTCCCATGGTTCTATGACTCTGCCAATCAGTCTTTATAACAAATTTAATTTAGAAGCATTGTCCCAAAATTTGCACTCCCTGCCTCAGATAGAGTAGTCACCTCCTCAGTTACATTCTAGTAATGTTGCTGCAGTCATGTGGCTAAGGAACATCTATAACTCAAAAATACTCATTTGGCCAGAGTTACTAGTAAGAAAGAGCCGTGATCTCAAACTTTATTCCTTTTTGAACCACAAAAAGGAAATTAGTCACTGAATCCGGCTATAGAGTTCCCAGCAAGGTGGCTTGCTGTGCATAATTCCATTTCATGAATAAACCAAAAAGCAGTGTCCCGCATCTTTGCTTGAGCTAACTCTGGGTCAGAGTTGATGAAACCAACCTCAAAAAGCACGTGTTCTGAAAGGTAAATTGATAGGAACTCATTATTTCTACCCTCAAAGTTACCCCTGAACAAATCTTTTGACCTGGTTTCCACCACTTGGCCGCACTTTGTTGGCCTTGGGCACAACTGAGACCTTAACCCAGCCCTTGACAAGCCAGCCAAGCATGTGCTTTATAAAGACAGTTCATAATGAAGTCACACACATACACTGCCAGCACATGGCAGCTGCTGTCAGAGATTAGCTCTCTCCCCAAAGCCTGAAACAAACTAATATTTGGACTTGGAGTAGAGTCTTTTACAAACAGTCTTCAGAACTCTGCTTCATCGGTTAGAATTCCAAACATTAGGTTAGGCCAGGGATTTTCAACCCTTTTCATCTCATAAACTAATTACCAGAATTCTGGGGCACACCAAAGACTATATTACACTTTTTGCCGATCTGACAAAAAAAAAAAAAGGTGTAATTTTGATTCAGCTACACTGAATGGCTATTGTGTTGGCTTTTGTCACTTTTTTATTTGACAATCTAAGGGAAAAGTGTCAGTGCCCCTAACTAGTCAGGTATTGCATGTTTTAAAAATACTTGCAGCACACCAGTTGAAAATCACTGGGTTAGACAATGAAATGAGGGCTGTTTCTCAGGGTGACTGCATGTTGCCCCTCAGCTCACACTGGGAAGGCAATAAGGCCAGGCCTGTGAGCCAGATCCCTCGAGGGCTTGCCGCCTCATCCTGCCCGGCACATGCCCCAAGGAGTGTATTTCTGAGCATCTCTCTGAAAGGGATCTCTAGAGTTCAGGTCTTTGGCTCAGCTTCAAAGAATCCGAGAGCCGACTTTTCCATGACGTGCTTGCAGGCCTGTTGTTTAGAGTGCATCGTGAGAGGCCAATGGGGAGCAGGATGCTGGGGTGGGGACGCTGGAACAACGCCTGGCCCTTCGCAGGCTGAGGAATGCCAAGCTAGGAGAGGGGTCTTTCCCAGTTCATGGCTCTGCGCCCAGCGTCCTCCCACCCGCTTCCCACCACCTAGAGTGGAGCCAGCCATGGTACTAAGACGTCTTGCCTCCTTCTCTGAGTAGGCCCTGGCTTACATATGGGCAAAGCGCTGCTCAGATTGAGGCCTCTCGGACCAAACTCCAGGATGGACATATCTCAAAGGCAACATCTGCAAAAGTGGCTGTTGGTGGCGCTGCCAGGGAAGAACAAGAATCTTTTGGTGTCAGGAGTCTGGTTCTCAGCAGGGTACATCCCAGAGTTCCCTGATGCAAGCCCCACAGGATTGGCACGTGGGCAAGCACAGAATGGGTGTGTCACTGAGAAACCGCAGCCCACGGCAGCTTATCTGTCACCAGTGACCATGGGCATGTGGGAGCAGGAAGGTCATCAGCTGCACGCCTCAGCCAGGCCTGCACCAGTCCTGATTTCTAAAGCCCCCTTTCCCCAATGGGCTGAAGAAACATGAAACAGATGGGGGAAGGGAGGTGCCAAGTACAGCTGGGGTTCATTAATGGCAACCCAGGGTCTACTTGGAAGGACGTCAGTCTTCCCCTTCGCTGTTGGCTCACCCAGTGGGGCCATCTGGAGCACAGAACCTGGCATCAATCCTCCATGGAAAGTTTGCCTAAAACCTCAAAATAATTGTTTTTCCTCAATGAGTAACCCACCCTTTCTTAATCACACGCATCTTACTGTGGTTTTAGAAGTGTGCAAATTGGGGGTTAGATGGCAGTTTCCCCACATGACAAGTAACCTTAGGACACGATCTTACTTCCCCCCAAATTTTGAAAAATGAATCTGTAGGGACGTTGAATCAGAGTTTCGACCAGAGCATGTAAACATTTGGGTCTCGTTACTACTCAGTTTAGAAGAAGCTCACTTCAGATTCAGCGCTGCTATCCAATGAGGATAAGGACTCTGCAGCGATCGTTGGCACGGGATGGAGGATGGACTCCTGATTACTAAAGAACTTACTACACTCAGGGCTCTATTCTCAGTGGTCTACAAATATTAGCACATTTTATACCCATCAGAGTCCTATGAGGCCAACACTATTACCAACCATTTTATAGATGAAGAAACTGAGGCAGAGAGAACTTACCCAAGGTTACACAGTAGTCACTGGCGGGGTGAGATTTGAACCCAGAGACTGTGCCTCCCTAGCCCATGCTCTTAAGCGCCGTGCCACACTCCCGCCCTAGGTTTGTTGCCCAGATTTTCCAAGCCACGCCTGACAGCTATGAGTGTGTTGATGGGATAATATGAAAATGAGACTTGCGCTGAAAATCTGGGATAAATGTCCTAAACCCAAGAAGACGTGGAAGCAGACTCCTACTTCCAATTGACTGGGGGATAAGAGAGGCGGAAGGAATGTGCGATGCACTGTCCTTGCCACTCCAAGTGTGGTCCCTGGACCAGCAGGGTCAGCGTGACCTGGAAAGTGGTTAGAAATGCAAACTCTTGGGCTTCATCCCAGACCTGCTGCTGGATAAGAATCTGCACTTTACCAAGGTCCCGGGGGATTCAAATGTGTATAAAGTCTGAGGAGGGCTGGTCTAATGGTCTCACTCACCACCTGCACCATTTGATGCTAAGCTGGTCCCTGAACTTTTCTAATAGTCACCCACAGTCCTCCCAGAACACCAGGTGTGCCTTCAAACCAAACACTCCCCTGCCTTTGGGGTGAAGTTAGGTGGGAAGTACAAAGCCTACCTTGCTCCAAATCCCTCCGTAACACCCCCCCCCCCCCGATTTCCCACCCCAACCCTCACCCCAGCCTCTTTGTCCACTTTAACCCTCCAAAGCCCCATTTGAGTTCTTTTAGATTAAAACACTGTCCCTTCAAGAAGCACTCAAGCACTGGTCTTCCACTCTCAATTTCAAATACCAGCTAGACTCCTCATCCACTCCTCTCAGCCCTTTACACCATCTCAACCTCCAATCTAGGCTCACAATGTGCTCCGTCACAAATAGAAGTCACGTAAGTTATCAGCTGGTACACATTCACATCCCTCGACCTCCCACCGCCCGCTCTCAGTCCCCAGGAGTCCCTGTTATTAACCCCCAGCCCCTGCCACATTTCACAGCTCTGGCCAATGGCAAATGGGGGCTGAAAGAGCCCAGGCGGCCCAGGTGTGAGGCTTCTTTAAAGGTATGTTTGCTCTCTAGTCCCAATACAGTCACTTAGATCATCTGTCTAGGCCTGGGTTTCCTAAACTACAGAATTGGCTGAGGGGAAAGGGAAGCATGGTGACCCGTGTTTCTGAAACGCGATGCCACAGAGTCACCTGGAGGGCACACAGAGACACCGAGGGTGCAGCCCCCTCTCCCCCAGAGCCTCAGCTCCAGGAGGGCTGGGCGGGGCCTGGAGTGGACATGCCTACCACGCTCCCAAGTGATGCCAATGGTGCTGGTCGGGGACCATGCTTTTGGGAGCCACGGTACTGACTGTCAAATCATTCAGTCAAATCAAGATTCTCATTATTCTATTATCATGGAGCTAACAAAGAACAAGAAATACTTCACCCGTCTCACTTCACATAAATTGAGTTGTTTCCCATATTTTCATTTCTTTCCCCCGACTGGATTGACAATTCTTATTCACTTTCTATAGTTCGTATAGCATCCTTCACAGTGACAGATGTTCAGGAGGCACTTAATACATCTTTTTAAAGGGAGTAACCCAGCAAGACTAACGTTTCCACAGAAGAGAGATCAGAATACAGAGCAGGATAAGGCCCAATGAAGGACACGGTCAGAAGCCCCTCAGCTGGAGGGACTCATTTGATAGCTTCTGGGTAGAAAGTCAAATAAACATGATCCTTTCCGACTACCAGTTATTTGCTCCTACCTCATCTAGCTGTGACATTGCTCCCAGTTGTGTTGTGTTTTTTGGCTTTGAGGTTTTAAAAATACAGTGTTTGCTGCCATCTGGTGGTATTTTCTAATAGATGCAGGCCATGAAATAGATTATATATACCCTGTGGTCTCTAAGTTTCTTAGCTCCCTGGGTAAAGCATGAGTCTATATTAAAATTCCTGGGTAACTGAATTTTCAAGAAAATGTTTAATCTGCCACTTAAAATTCTGAAGCAAATAGTGTGGTCACGATTAAGAGCTAGAGTTGGATTCAGGCTAAATATCCCATCCTGATATTTAATAGTTCTGTGACATTTGTCAGTTGCTGAACTTCTCTTAACCTTAACTTCCTCTTCTATGAAATGTGGACAGTGATGGTACCATCATTCCAGTGGTGAGGACTCAACAGGATAATGCATGTAAGTGCTTGAAACAATGCCCTTAGGAATGAGTCCTTGATATATATTTGATGGTGAAGATGATGATGATGATGATGATGATGTAAATAACTGTTCTCAACTCCAGACCAAGGAAGTCCGAATGCCCAGATATGCAAGCTGGGTATTCTGATTTAATTTGTCCCAGGGTAGGAGAGTGGGTAAGGGGAGGTAGTTGGCTAACAGGGCATCAAGATGGTCTTAAAACTCCCCAGATGATTCTATTGCAGTAAGTGACCCATGAAAAAGCCATGTGTTCATTTGCAGGTCACTGAAGACCGGTGTCATCTAATCAGTCAACAGCATTTATGGAATATTTGCCATGGCCAGAGTACAAGTGGGGCATGAGGAAAAAATCAGCAAGGTCCTGCTCTGTTTACGACACCCCGGGTGTGAGGAATACGTGAAAAGGGCAGGTGTCATAAACAGTTGTAGGTTATGGCCTGGAAAGGAGCGTTCTTAGCATATTCTGGTCGGAAAAGTCTCTAGGGAGAAAACAATTAAACTGGCATTTTATTTATTAGGTCACCCTATGGTGGTAGGTAGACTTAGAAACAAATCCCAAATTCTGAGCTCTAAACCTTCACACAACATAATTCTTCAACTCTTTGTTTTGCATTTTAGTTAGCTTTTCTCAGTTAAATTTAAATGCAACTTTTAAAAATCGTATAAGGAGAGAATTTCTGTGCCTTGCCAATGGCCCACTAATTTAAAAACATATTCAGTACAACACAGTTCCAATGTGACAGAATTGCAATAATCCTTATTGAAGTATGCGCATTAAATGGGTGAACTTTATGGTATGTAAATGATCTCACTAAAGCTGTTAAAAATATTTTTTTAAAGTTCATCTTAAAAGGGAGCAATTTATCATCTCCACACACAACAAAAAGGTGTCTCCTAACTGATGGCTCCTTTATTTCTAGTAACATAAGCAAGCACCAGATTCCGGGGCAGGGGAAGGAACGGGGTCTGTGGAATCTTGCCTGTGCCAGGATTCCACTGCACCAAACGGGACCCCCCTCACCAGGCTGTACAACCTCTCTGCTCTCCCCACAGGAGGACTACAACCAGCTGAGGCCGCTCTCCTACCCCAACACGGATGTGTTTTTGATCTGCTTCTCGGTCGTAAATCCTGCCTCTTACCACAATGTCCAGGAGGAATGGGTCCCGGAGCTTAAGGACTGCATGCCTCATGTGCCTTACGTCCTCATCGGGACCCAGGTTAAATAAAAGGCGGTGATGGCAGGGCGGGTTGGGCGGGTGGGAGGGTGGCAAAAAAGGGAAGGCCCTTTGGGGATCTCTTGAACATCGTTTTCTACCAAACACTATAGAAGAGGATCTCAGAGACATCAATCCTACGAACAGCCGTTCTTACGGCCTGCATAATTATTTAGCCATAGTTGAAAAGAACAGAGCTATTTAATGTGAAACAGGGCATTTTAATGTGACCTTTAAAAATGAATCACTTGGCTTTTTATTCTTAAACTAGAGGCCCGGTGCATCGATTCATACACATTGAAAGGAAATTAATTAGAAGAAATATTTTAGAGGCTGGGGAGGGACCAAAGGAGATTGGCTCCAGGGCATGTGTGGCCAGTCTCTCCCTTATCTGGGCCAATCAGAGCTGGGGAGGGACCAAGGGAGGGTTCCAGGGCATGTCAGGCCTGTCTCGCCCAGTCCCAATGGGCCGGACCCCAGCAGCAAGCTAACCTACCAGTCAGAGCGTCTGCCCCCTGGTGGTCAGTGTGCATCATAGCGACTGGTCGAATGGTCGAACGAACGGTCAGACACTTAGCATATTAGGCTTTTATTATATAGTATTGCCAGTGCGTGTCATATGTACCAACCGGTCCGCCAGTTGGACAGTCAGACGGTCGGTCACTTAGCCTTTTATATATATAGATAACCAAGTAATTTTTGAAATTGGCACCCTTCTCCAGCCTGAGCCAGAAGACTGAAGAGGGGATGTTAATTATACTTATCAGCTGCTATTTTTTATATCATCTAAATTCCATGATTGTTTGAAAGTCACAAAATAGGTGTGAATACCAAAGTAACCCCAGCAATCAGAACGGTCATATTATGACAGGAAAGCCTTGGTGACGCTCCTGCAAACAGATTCACTCTTCCCTCTTACCTGTGAGCCCCTGGGTCTTCCAGATCTTAGGACAAAGTGAAGGCAGATATTCCAGATAAACAAAACTGCGACTGTGAACGCCCTTAAAGTGTTTTGAAAGCTAATGAAGTTCCGCTGCTTGGATTTCCAACAGTAATTGCACAAGGGTGTTAAATATTGTTTCAACGTTTTATAGTTTTAAATACATTTTGTTCTTTGTGTTAAACCCAAAGTACTAGCCCAAAGACACAGAAAGGAAAAATACTGAAGGACATGGGCCCACATCCACACCCATCCATGTATGCATGGGTTCTCATACACAGTGAGATTTCACAGCAACTAAAATATTTAATTAAATTATAAAACCTAACCAAACATACATGCTACTTTCAGAGTCGTTTTGCCTTTGAAAAGATGAATGCTTATTCCTTGAGCAAACAAACCCTTTGGAAATTTCTCCTCAGGACTTTCCTTCAGAGCCCGCAGCATCTTTGTTAGAATATCCTCACAGTGGGCAAACCCTCATCCCTGTGAGGGGGGAGATTTGGTTTTAAAAAGCCAACATATGTCTCTTTTGCCAGGAAATAAACTATTAAAAATGCATAATCAACTAAGCATCACTGTAAGGTAATGAGACCGATCAGTTATCTTGTATGTCCTATCAGAATGCTCTAGAAATAAATAGAAAATTTCAAAAACATCTGAGACCGCCACCGCATCGTTGGAGAAAGCCCTCAGCCCCCGGGGTAGCTGCTTTGAAGGGGAGAGGACAAGGAAAGCCTGATGCGTACATTGTCAAGGAAGTCGCTGTACTGTTCAGACCTAATATGGGCATGTGTGTGTGCTTCCTTAGAGAAAATTCATCAACTTCATAGATGTCAAGGGGGGAGGGGAGATATCCATTATGTCACAGTTTAAAATACCTGGTCATGCCTGAGAAGAATGAGTTTATCACATGTGTGTTTTTTGCCAGATTGATCTCCGCGATGACCCCAAAACCTTGGCCCGTTTGCTGTATATGAAGGAGAAACCTCTCACCTACGAGCACGGCGTGAAGCTTGCCAAGGCGGTAGGGTCGGGTTTGAGTTTAATTTTACGTGCACGCCGGGAAGAGTTTGGTGTGCGCTTTGGGAGGCATGCGCTTCGTAGGCTTTTGCGCTTAAAGTGCACTGTGTTCAGAACCTCCGCTCGGCTTCATATTCTCCCCTCCGTCCCAGTCAGGCCAGAAGGGACCATTTGGTTGGCGTTCTTGTCAGCCAGCATTATCTGTTTTTCATTAAGGAAAGAAACTTGGTGAATTTCAAACAGCTGAGGCACTTAGCGTGTGATTTAGCAACCTCTAGAATATCCATTTGCCATGTTTAGTATGAATAAAGAGAGTCATTAGATATGTATTTGTAAATCTCACTGCTTATTATCGGTGTAACTCATTTAAATGACCCCATAAAAGGCATTTTGTGGTTTTCTTGGGAGAGACTTAGGTAAAGCATCTGGCAGGGTTATGTTTGTTCAGTATTTCTCACCACATAATGCACAGCCACTTAGAGAGGCTGGCTGGTGTCACAAACAGCATCTAGTGGAGTAAAAGAGACCAAAAGGTAACTGGTTGGAGAATCCAAGCTGCAGATAACAGCAATTCGCTCACAGCTGGAATTGTTTTCTCAGACTTTTCTTCACTCTTAACATGAATAGTGATTTGGGGAGTTGGGGGGCAGGGCGGGGGGAATACTTTAAAAAGTATTTGCCAGACACCAAATCTTTGTCTCCCGATTACCACTGAGATGTGTGCAAAAACAGACACTAAAATAGGCAAAAGGATTATAAATCATTTTTCATAAGCTGAATCCACCCTTCGTTAATTTAGCCACAAATCCATCAACCCAGGCCAGCGATTTCAGAAATTTCTTTTACTTTCTAAAGAAAGTAACCCTGAAAAATGCATGCCCCAAGCAGAAGTAGGAGTTACCCTTTTAAACTGATCCAGAATAAATTAACTACAAATGCTTCATTAACAAAAGCATATGCATTCCTCTTATTAAAAATTTCTTATAGGCACCAAAACTAATCATGATACACTTGAATAGAAGTCAATTCAACAACTTCTGTTTTTATGGGTGTGATACATGAGAATATCTCACAAATACTTGAGGGACTGAACGCTTCCTACTTCTGTGGATGGTAATGTCAACTACCAGTGTGAGCCTTTCTCGCAGTTGTTAGTATATACTCTGCACTTCACAAGCTGTCTCATTTCAGCCTCATGATAACTCTTCCAAGCAGATAGGGTTTGTCCCATCTTACCGGTGAGGGAACAGAGTCTTAGGAAGACAAACAAGTTTGATTTACACAACTGATAATAACACCAACAATTCTATTCCAGCTCTGCGGCCGTCACACCTGCGCACCTGACCATTGTGTAAACTCTCCTCCAACCATTTATGTTCCCTCCTGTAAAATGGGTAGATATGTCTATAGGTTCTTCTACCTTTTCCTCAAACATCCAGCTTAAATGATCTTACGAAGGTGCATAAATATTTGCCTCCACAAATATTTGTATGTGATTCCCAGCTACACATTTTTCACAACAAGGTCCTGAGGCTCAGCACCAGCAGGGTTTTTTTCAAGGAGCGCAGTTTCTGTATCCCTTGCTTTAGGCCTGTCTCCCGCCATCATCAGCTTCCTAGCCTGACTTCTCACTTGGGAAGTTGTTTTTTCCCTCTGAAAAGAAGTCGTTCCAGAGCCTCCCATCTCATTTCATACTTATTTTAGGAACAATGGCTGAGTTCACCACTTTATTGCCTTTTGCCAGCTTCTCCTAGCAACTGCTCTCAGATATAGAGAGAATCATGTTTAGCTTACAAAATCCAATTTAGAAGAAAATCAAGCAAGAGTTTAACTTGTTTCATCACAATTCATGTAATTATAGAGATGCTTTAAGTTTCTCTGCTCCCTCACTTTCCTGTCAAGCAGTTTATAATAACATCTGGCATTTACGGAGTGTGCGCAGTGTGCTAGGCCTGGTGCCAGTGCTTTACATGCCTTGTCTTCATTAATCCTCACAGCAACCCCCTGACGTGTGTATATTATTATCTCCACTTTCCTAGAGAAAACTGGGACCCAGAGTAGTTAAAGCCACACCACTAGAAGGTGGCAGAGCTGAGATATGAAAGTGGGCTTTAACCACCATATTCCTCTGCCCCCTCCTCTAATCTGAAAACAAACCCTTAGGTTTGGGGCTTCTTTTATATATTTGGCCCCTTTACCCTTTAGTATCCTCCACCCCTTCCCTCTGGTAACCACCATACTCTTATGTGTGTCTATGAGTTTCATATCCCATATATGAGTGAAATCATATGGTTCTTAGCTTTTTCTGCCTGACATTTCACTTAGCATAATATTCTCAAGGTCCATCCATGTTGTCACAAATGGCAGAATTCCACCTTTTCTTATGGCTGAGTAGTACACCATTATGTATATATTAGAGGCCCAATGCACGAAATTCATACAAGAGTAGGCCTTCCTTCCTTCGGCTGCCAGCACCAGCTTCCCTCTGGCACCCTGGACCCAGGCTTCCCTCCAGCCACCAGCAAGCACCTGGAACCCAGGCTTCCCTCACAGCCCTGGCTTTGTCCAGAAGGTCATCCAGAAGGACATCTGGTCTAATTAGCATATTATGCTTTTATTATTATAGATTAGAGGCCCAGTGCACGAAATTTGTGCACAGGGGGTGTCCCTCAGCCTGGCCTGCACCCTCTCCAATCCGGGACCTCTCAGGGGATGTCCAACTGCCTGCAGGGATCGGGCCTAAACCGGCAGTCGAACATCCCTCTCGCAATCTGGGACCGCTGGCTCCTAACCGCTCACCTGCCTGCCTGCCTGATCACCCCTAACCCCTCTGCTTGCCTGCCTGATTGCCCCTAATTGCCTCTGCTTGCTGGCCTGATTCCCCCTAACCACCTCTGCCTGCCAGCCTGATCACCCCTAACTGCCTCTGCCTGCTGGCATGATCGCCCCTAACCACCCTTCCCTGCTGGCCTGATCGCCCCTAACTGTTCCCCTGCTGGCCTGATCACCCCTAACCACCTCTGCCTCGGCCCCTGCCACTGTGGCTTTGTCCAGAAGGAGGAGCGGATGACCGGAACATGTCCGGTCTATCCGGTCTAATTAGCATATTACCCTTTTATTAGTATAGATACCACATCTTCTTTATCCAATCCTCTATCGAAGAACACTTTGGTTTTCTCCATGTCTTGACCACCATGAATAATGTTGCAGTTAACATAGGGATGCATATATCTTTGCAAATAACTGTTTTTGAGGTTTTTTTGTTAGATACCCAGAAGCAGGATTGTTAGTCATAAGTAACTCTATTCCTAATTTTTTTAGGAACTGCCAGGTTTTCCATAGTGTTGTACCAGTCCACATTCCCACCAGCAGTGAATGAGGGTTCCTTTTTCTCCACTACCTCTCCAACACTTGTTTGAGGTGGTTCTCATTGTAGTTTTGATTTGCATTTCCCTAATAGCTAGTGAAATTGAATACCTTTTCATAAATCTGTTGGCCATTTGTATGTCTTCTTGGGAGAAGTGTCTATTCATGTCCTCTGCCCATTCTTTTAAATTGGATTGTTTGTTTGGTGTTAAGTTGTATGAGTTCTTTATATATTTTTGATATTAACCTCTTGTTGAAGCTGTTGTTTGCAAATAACCTCTCTGATTCAGTTGGTTGCCTTTTATTTTACTGGTGGTTTCTTTTGCAGTGCAGAAGCGTTTTAGATTAATATAGTCCATTCATTTACTTTTGCCTTTACTTCTCCTGTCTTTGGGGTCAAATTCATAAAATGTTCCCTATGACCAAGGTCCAAAGTTTAGTACCTATGTTTTCATCTATGTAATTTATTGTTTCAGATATTATATTTAGGTCTTTGTTCCATCTTGAATTAATTTTTGTACATGGAGACAAACTATAATAGTTTCTTTCTTTTGCATTTGGCTTTCCAATTTTCCCAGCACCTTTTATTGAAGAGACTTTCTTTTCTCCATTGTGTGTTTTTGGCTCCTTTGTCAAAAATTATTTGCCCATATACATGTGGTTTTATTTCTGAGCTCTCAATTCTGTTCCATTGGTCTGTGTGTTTGTTTTTCTGCCAATACCATGCTGTTTAATTATCGTAGCTCTGTAATATAATTTTGGAGTCAGGTAGTGTGATACCTCCAGCTTCGTTCTTTTTTCTAAGAATTGCTTTGGCTCTTTGGGGTATTTTGTGGTTCCATACAAATCTGCTCCCAGATACAGAGAGAATAATGTTTAGCTTACAAGATCCAATTTAGAAGAAAACCAAACAAGCGCTTAACTTGTTTCATCACAATTCATGTAATTATAGTGATGCTTTAAGTTTCTCTGCTCCCTCACTTTCCTGTCAAGCAGTTTATAATAACATCTGGCATTTACGGAGTGTGTGCAGTGTGCTAGGCCTGGTGCCAGTGCTTTACATGCCTTGTCTTCATTAATCCTCACAGCAAGCCCTTGAGGCGTGTATATTATTATCTCCACTTTCCTAGAGAAAACTGGGACCCAGAGTAGTTAAAGCCACACCACTAGAAGGTGGCAGAGCTGAGATATGAAAGTGGGCTTTAACCACCATATTCCTCTGCCCCCTCCCCTAATCTGAAAAGAAATCCTTAGATTCAGGGCTTCTTTTTATATGCTGAAGGCCCATATTTTTAAAAAATATGTTTTTATTGATTTTTTTTTTAGAGAGAGAGAGGAAGGGAGCGGGATAGAGAGATAGAAACATCGTTGAGAGAAACATCATTGATTGGCTACCGCCTGCATGCCCCCTTCCAGTGATTGAGCCTGCAACCTGGGCATGTGCCATGACCTGGAATCAAACCACAATCTCTTGATTCCTAGGTCAATGCTCAACCACTGAACAACACCAGCCAGACTTAAGGCCCATATTTAATGTGCATATTCTCCCCAGACCTTAAACACTTTGCAAGTTGAGATTTTTCATATCCAATTCCTTTTGTTCAGTACTTTTCACTTTCCAAAGCATTTTTCATCTAT